TTTTCTGAAAAAATCAAAATAGCAAGGGGTTAGCCTTGTAATTTTAATAATTGGGAAATTTTCTTATTTTTCTGAAAAAATTCACATCTGTAAGGGGTTAGTCTTGCATTTTGATTAATTTGGGAAATTTTCTCATTTTTCATCTAAATTCAAATCTGTAAGGGGTTAGTCTTGCATTTTGATTAATGTGGGAATTTTCTTATTTTTCACCGAAATTCAAATCTGTAAGGGGTTAGCCTTGCATTTTGATTAATTTGGGAAATTTTCTCATTTTTCACCTAAATTCAAATCTGTAAGGGGTTAGCCTTGCATTTTGATTGATTTGGGGAATTTTCTCAATTTTCTGAAAAAATCCCGAAATGTATGACATGTATTTCAACAAATCGGCAAGGGGTTAGCCCTTAAATTATTGAAAATTTGGCCCAACTGATTCAGTAAAAAAAAAATCTAAAAATCATCAAGGGGATACTTTCTTAACATTTAAAGTTTAGTTAAATTTGCCCGGACTGAATCTTTTTTTAAATTTTAAAAGGGCAGGCATAGGCCTACCCCTTGGTGATTTCGGGAGCGAAATGTCCATGAGGAAAGAATGCCGTACACGGCCGAAACTCATAGCCACCTATTAGCCGCCTAATTTGACCTTACAAAAATCAAAATTAGCGGGAGAAATGTTGAGGTATGCTAGTATAGAAATAATATAGAAAACAAAAAGAGGAGAAAGATTGAATGGTACCATTTTGAACTCACCTAATAGGCGCATGCACATGTACATAACCAATGCAGTATCAGTCTTGCCAAAACTCTTGAGTAGCACTGCAGAAAATACACGTATAAACTCTACCACGCCCAGTCCCGGAATTCAAGATGGCTACAGGAGACCCCAGGCTTTAAACACCTCTGTTGAGGCCACCACGCTATAAGAATTATGAGTGAACATTCTATCCTCCACGGCATTTCCTACACACAGAGAGTTGAAAAGGGTCTTCCTCCGCGTTTTAGCAGCAAAAATGCCAAACATGCGTTGCTGTGGTTTCTGCTATTGTTACAATGGCTAACAAAATTAGAGCCCTTCCCCTCTGACTTGTGTGGTAACGTACTGATTTGTGCCTCACTAGCCTGACTTTAGTCACAAAAATACGAAACACGGCTATTTGGAGAGGGTAAGGTTGCTTAAAAATCAACTTCAGACAACACGTGGTGTGAAATTGTTCGGGTTTAAAAACACTCTAAACTTTAATTGATGTAAGACGACGAACAAGTGCGTTTGTACTAAGCCCGACACCTCAGCTACTCGTTCGCCTGGTCACCCAGCGCCCCAACAGGGCGCTGAGATGGGCCAATGGCCTTGCACAGATTTTATACAGTCATTCATAATGGTTTATTTAAAACATTCAAATCTCGCGGCACTAGGCCGAATTGCGTTTGAACTTCCATAAAAGTGGACATATTTAGTATTATAATTATGTATAAAAATATAAAAATAAATCATCCGTCATATCAAAATTGCAGGAAGTGGTTCTACCTACGTACACAATATAAAACGTTTAGGATTAGAAAAAACACCTCTAAAATTACCTTTACGAATTACGGAAAAAGAAGTAGGCCTATGAAAGCTAATAAAATTACTTAAAAATTAAAAATCATTTAATAAACATAATAAAATAATAAACATAATAAACATTTTAGTGAAGGAAATACGTCTTACGGGTCACAGCTAACAACACACAGAGCATTGTTGGTAAATTTTTGCCAGGCGCGCGAGTTCGCTCGATGTGTTATATACACAAGCGGCGGTTATTAATTCGATATTTTTTCGTTTTACTCCTCACTGCTGAAAATGCTCTCGCTACATTTTATTTGGTCATCCAAAATTGATCAAGATAACCAATGATTTGAAATAATATCGCCCAAAGACATGTGATCAGTGATACCTGGTGAGAAGATAAATTATCACACCGTTGCCGACACTTTGCCCGTGCTAAAGCATTGCCATTGACAAACCAGAAAATTTAAATACATGTAACGCTTCGCTAACAGGAAGTGATAACCTCGCGGTCATGTCGTGCAGTGTTCGGGCGCTGGGCCACGAGCGAAAAGAGGTTCCTTGCTTCAAAATGGAATTAATACCCATTTCTCAGTGCACACCAAATATTAATGCCACCGCCTACAGAGCCGGATCACAAACGGGGGAGACATTTTATTCATTCCACAGCATCTTACGCTTAAATACGCCTTGCTCCTTTCAAGAAAAAAAAAATTGACAAAAACACATCAACTACGCACACAAGCTCTCCGTTGTAGATTCAAGTAGGGTAGTTTTTATTGGGCTTTATTAAATGTTCCACAAAATTTCAACGATCACAAAATAATCCACTCACATTGGTTTTTTTCTTATGAACACTGCAACACATTTATAACCACATTCATTTTTGGTGGCGTCCCCTTCCCCGTCTATTGCATATTGAACTCCAGCACAAACTGGCAGCTGATGACAAATGAGGGCGCTGTTCGAACATCATTTCACTCCTTGTACCGTGTTAAAATTTGCCAAAGGGATAAAATGCACCTGGCAGTGTCAAAATTGACTTTGAAGCACACAGCCTTGGCAGAAGTGTATCAAACATTTCTATTCACCATTAAAACAGCGCTCTCAAAAATTGTTTGGGACAACATTCGGCAAATATCTCTCTCATCAGCTAATCTTCGGAATATCAAGTCGATGTCACGTCAGCAAAATTATTCGTCATCACGAACACATTCACCAAAGAATCACCAGACGCCTTGAGCTAATTCGACAGCTAGGCATCTTTAAAAACTTACACCAGTTAACGCTTTACAAAAACAGAAAGCTTTTATTTTTGGAAATCATGCAAATGTAGGTCAATGTACTCACTGAATTGTTATAGTGGTTGCACAAAAAACTTAGGGTCCGTAGATGTATAAGCAACTGAATTAAGGTGAATCAAAATACAAAAAATGTGGCGTACTACGATAATTTTTCATACAGAATTCATACAGAAACTTGGCTTCAAAGAAAAACTCTCGCTACTGAGCACAGCAAAGTGATAGAAACTCTAAAACTGGCTGAATGATGGTGTTTGTGTAAATGGCGTTCTCAAGGAAAACAAACAGCCAATTGTGACAAAACCAAATGCCCTGCATGCAGTATGTCGTGGCAGAAATAAAAACCACGAACGATCAGAATTACGGCCAAAATCTACTCTCCTTTGCCAATTATTTTAGACGAGTATGTACAGCGGATCAAAGGTATTTGAGGGACGCATGTCCACAAGTTTTTGTCTCACTGTATGAAAACGTTCCAAAGACCAAAATAAAAGATGTCTTTAAAAATGTAAAAAATGAAAAAAAAAAAGAAAAATTCTACCTGTGGTTAAAACGTGCTGCGAGTTTATTGATCCCGGTCCTTTTTCCAATTTTTTTTTCAAATCTACTTTGTAGTTTGTACTTAAGAGTGAGAACTAGCATCTATTTTCAAAATCAATGCAGTGACTGGAGAAATAGAAATTTAAAATGTTACAACTTGACTCTTTCCAACAACAGAAGACCAAAAGTAGTTGGATATTTCACAACTACAATTTTCGAAGGCCTTTTCTGATAAAAGCACAACGTAAAAAAAGATAAACATGCCTGGATTTTAAAAAAAAAAAGAGGCAACTGAAAACTAAACAACAAAATACATTTTGAATGATTTTTCCCATCAATTCGACTACCGTTAGTGTATTACAAAATGTTCCCATTGCATTCTAACAAAGCCAAATTATACATACGTCCTCTTATCGTCAGTACCGTCCTTTCGTTCAGGAAAAAAAGTACTGTTTACATTCAACTCCACAGTGATACAGGAAACAACAATGACTACATGACATGCTACGCAAATTGGGTGTTTTTTTTCAACAATAATTACAAGAAATTACCCCATCACCGCAAAATTCAGTGGTGACAGGATCACCGTTAAGTGTCGATCACTTTAGTTTTTTTTTCTAACCACTAAGATGACTACTCGATTAAAAAGCAAGATTATTAATTTATTACATTATGCTGTAGTTACACTACGTACGCCCCTTCCGGGACATATACTGCACATTTTCAGCAATTTCTACACGACTCAAGACGCCAGGAAAAGAATTATCGGTTTTTGAATTGTGTACAATTTTCTAAGCGTTTTGTATTTTTTTTGTTTTTTTTCCTTTTCTTTTTTTTCCGCCCATTTTATTTCACACTACAAATTTGCATCTCCTGTTCCGTCTTGATGGCTACTGCTACTTGTTAAAACTATCCAACACACAGAAAAATCCAAAACCAATCAGTAACAATGATTTTAACGAGCCCCAAAAGTGTCACTGTCCCTATGTGTTAGGAAAAAAAAGGTGAAATGTATTTACGGCAGAACAAATCTAAAATGGACACACAGCTCACAAATTTAAAATATCTTTTTGTCCACAAATAAGGTTTGCCTGGGAACCTCACGAGATTCTACACTTCAGCAGAAAAGCCTGATAATTGTTCTATTTCTTTAAATGGCTGCATCAAACCATTTCATATCTCACCCACATCTTTGGTAACGAAACAGAGGAAAACGAAAATCCCCAAATTTAACTATTCTCATTACTTTGCATTGTACCTATCCATTCCATTTACAAAATCAATCCAGAAAAAAAAAATCAAAGGAACAAAACCGAAAATAATTAATGAAAAAGCCATCACTTCAAATTTTACATTTTTAAAAAGTCCACATTTAAAACTCGCAAGTGCCCAAATTGTCTTCCAAATTAAAAAGAGCAAACATGATCAAATAAACAGTAATAATAATCTAAAATGTGGCAAGCGCCTTTTGAGGAGTACTACGGCACAGGAATTAAGCTGGTAATAGGTGTGTATACAAGTTTCTACAGTGATAATAACTTGACGTACTTGGTAAAAATCTGTTTAGAACGGAGTGCAAAACGGTTTGGCTTGAATGCACCTCAAGAAAGTAATCAGGTGTTTGACGGGTCTCCGCTCACTCGTTAGCACTAGAGTACAAAAAGAAAAAAAAATTCAATCCACTGACTACATGATAAACATTATAAAACTGAGAATTAGGCAAAAAAGCAATAGGCCCATAAACAAACAATTTCATCCAAGAAGAAGCTCTTCTTTTATTGTGAACCTTGGATATGTTTCAAACATGGCAAACTGTTGGAATGGGTTGAGCCAGACAATTTTATGATTGAAACACACACCAAGGAAAAGGGCAGTGCACAAGGGGCTGTAATTTGATCTCCAGGGATCAACTTAAGAGCTTTATTTGAGTCCATTTTAGGTCTTTACTGAGACTTATGAAGACAGGGCTATGTGGGATGGGGTAGGGGTGGGGCTTACCCTTTTTGTGTCTCACCTGTTATGTAACTCGCTGCAGGGGTAATCTCGGAATCGTTATCAATAAAGAGTTATGGGTAAAGCAGGGGGGGGGCTACCTTATATCTCACTCCAGGGTTTAACTCAAGATCCTCACTAATAATAATGGGGATGGGAAGTGGGACACTTGCCCAGTGTATATCTCACTTTAGGGATCAATTTGACATCCGTACTGTCTAATAGTGAGTGTGCTAAAGGGGGTGTAAGTGGGCTTACCTAGAATACCTCTAACTCTAGGGATCACCTAGAGTTTGACAGTGGGTGAGGGGGCCAACGGGGAGTTTCAGGGAGCATACCTGGCATATTACCTCACTCTAGGGATCAACTTAAAAAATCTTACGGACCGATAGTGAGGGGGGGGGAAGACAGACAGGTGTTGGGGAGTGTGCCTACCATATATCTAACTAGAAATCCTTACTGACTGATGAGGGGGAAGCAGTGTTGAGCGGGTCAGGAGGCAGTTGTTGGGGGTCAACCTTGTACATATCTCATATAGGGATCAACTTGAAATCCTTACTGACTGATGAGAGGGTCGGTAGGCAGTATTGGGAAGCATACCTTGTATGTATCTCAGTATAGGGATCAACTTGAAATCCTTACTGACTGATGAGGGGGTCGGGAAGCAGTGTTGAGCGGGTCAGGAGGCAGTGTTGGGGGGTCAACTTTGTATATATCTCAGTAA